AGTGAGTCTGAAACCATCAGGTTTTTGATCATAAGGTTTTTGATCCATGAGTGTGCTAGATCCTGGCAATGTTTTCTACTACATTGCTAGGTCATCTCAGGGATTGCTTTTTTCCAGCCTCCATTTGCTCAGCAAAAATTAGTGTGTGCTTGGAAGATAGTTATTGTTGTTTTCTGCATTAGGGGCTCTTCCAGATTCAAATCTGACGTCAACTCCAAGTTTGTCAAAGCCTGGCAGGTTTGTTTCTCCTTGCCCAAGCAGTATGTTCTCTGACAAACTTGCTTCCCAGCCCACCCTACCCCCAACCTCAGGAACTGAACCCAAGTATGGAATATCTACCCTCCTATGCTGACCGTGGAAAATCTCATCCTTCTAGGGTTAGTTAGTTTAGATTTCTTGTGTCCACAGCTTTTTAATGATACTAAGGAAAGCTCTGGTTTTTGTTTTGTTTTGGCTGAAGTGAAGATCTTTCACATGTTTTTACATGCTAACCAGAAGCAGAACTCTGAACAGTCTTTTAATATTTTTATTTGTGGTTACACAGTTTATGCCTTTGTGGATGGATTTTTTCCCCCCACTGGAAAAGTCTTGTAGATTCAAATATTATGAAAAGGGTAAAATATCAAGGTAGGTAATATCATATTTGGCATATATATGCAAATGTTAAGGATGTGTTAAAGAAGCAACCTGAATGATGTTTGGCTTTCTTCTTTCAAGAATTTTAGTTACTTAGAAATAGCACTAAAGAATGAGCTCTTGAGACACTAGCTCCCAAGAAGAAATGGTTTCTAAAAGGTAATGAGCAAAGCAGCACTACTGAAGTCATCACTTGCCCTCTTAAGGGATGTACAGCAAAGAACCAAGCCAATAGCAATAGATATGTACAATTGTTTGCTTTTTAAAAAAGGCTTAGGGCATTATAAGTAGTCCTTAGAATGGCACAGTCTAATATTCAAAAAGAAAACAACTTTGAAGGAGGTAACTAGAGTTTATAGGTACAAAATGACCCTGGAGGTAGTAAATTGACAGATGAAAGCATTTCCTTTTCTAACTTAGAGGTGGGTAATGTTCTATCTCAGGCACAGATCTAGGCAGTATTCCACTGGGTTGACCTACAGCAATAAGTCCTACATAGGTAGGAAAGCAAAGATGAGTAGCTAATGGAAGCAAGGGCCAAGATTAGCAAGAATTAATAAGCATAGGATGCCAAGTTCAAACTAGAGTAACTAGGAGAACCAGATCCTAATTTCTTTTTTTTTTTTTAAGATTTATTTATATAAGATCCGGGGTACAGGCCAGATGCGCGGGAGGGTGAGAGGATTCACCAGAGACAGAGCAGGGAACAGAACAAGCAGACTGACAAAATACACTGCTGAGGGGAGCAGCAGGCGAGACAGGAGAGGTCTGCTGTGCCACGCAGGACCCTTGCCGGCTGGCCGGGATTGAACCAGTGCTGCAGAGGCTGTGGACAGCCTCATAGCGCTGCGCTCAAATGCCTGCGCCACCAGGGAGGCCCAGATTCTAATTTCTAATCCAAGATGTGAACTATAGAAAAAAATAAGAAAGCAAAAACTTATACTCAAGCTATTGTCCGACTGTTCCTTTGCTTCTCATAGCCCTACATATAGAATCATCCTGGACCCAACATCTCACCTGGTGAACTAAACCATTAGCAACTGATTTATCAGCAGCTTTGATGCACAGCATGTGGATATGAAATTAGAATGGAGGTTGAGAATTGGAGGCTAGTATTTATTGAGTAACAAAACCACTATGCACTGAAAGGGCAAGTCCTATTTTAAATTACCCCTATTTTGACTTGTCTTTCCTTTGCATTTCTGTAGCTAGGCAAAAGAATAGAAGAAATAAAAGCAATTTATAGGTGTTCTGTAAATACTGGAGCAGAACCAAGATAGGAAGGAATGAGTTGGTATGTTGGGAAAGGTTTATAAATTTTTTTTAGATATCAGTTGTTTATAAAGGTTTTGAAGTTCAAAATTTATCTTCTTCTAGGTTCATCAGTTAATTCCTCAGGAGCTTCCAGGTTCCATTGGGATTCCTCACAGAGACCTTCGGTGGGCCTGCTTTGTACTCTGAACTTTCCTACCATATCCATTATTTCTTGTCTAGTGGAATCTGAAGTGGTAACATAAAACTCAGGGAAAGGAATCAGTTTTTAATATCCAAACCACCAAGTCCAAATCTGGGTTTGTGAGCCTCCAAGGCTTCATAAAAGGGAGGATAACGTCAGCTTAGGCCTTACCTCAAGCCACGAGACATTTAAATTCTGATTTATGATCTAGGTTAGATCAGCATAAGCTATCAAAAAGTCTCATATTCCATCACTTGTTTTTTTTTTTTTTTATGTAAGCAAAAGTAAAAGTATTAAATTTGCTCAGTTCCTTCCTGCTCAGTTAATGGAATTGATTATGGAGTTGGCAGAGGTAGTTACAGGTCAAAGTAATAGACCAGAACAACCTGTGTTTGCATCTCAGATTTGCTATCAGTTAACCAAATGATCACAGCCAATTTCCTCTTACTTTCTGGGAGTCCTCCCCAATCAGGAGGACACTCTATTCTTGACTCTGTACTTCAAAGGCCTTGTTCTGGTCCCTTCCTGTGGAGGAGTCCAGAAGGCCAGCAGGACATGCCCACCTAGCCATCTCTTCCCTCTAGACATCTCTCCATGGGACCCTAGAAGTCCTTGCCCAAATGGCCCCAACACTACTTTCAGGGCCTGCATCGATGTCTGTTCCAAGACTGTTCTCCCAGTGTTGACTTGGCCATCAATCTTTCTGTTTGGCCAAACATTGAGTAAAGGGTGACTGTTAACAAAGCTGTGAATGCAGATTTGCCATGTGACTATGGTAGCTATATATCTGCATGTGTGCCAGTTAGGAGTCTCAAAGATCATAATAGATCTGAAGGAAGGTGAGAAGATAAGAGAGATAAGTTGGGACTGAAGGGTGGTTTGTTCTGAGCTGCCAAGAAATCCCCAAATTTTAAATACAATTTAGGCTTCCAGGTCTTGATAAAAGCATATTTGTTAAGGTATGAGCCTAGAATCTATTTTATTTAATATATTTAAAGTTTGATTTATAATTTAAAATAGACATATATATATGTGGGCTGCCACTTATATTCTTGTCTTGGGCCTCACAAATGTTAAAAGAGGACCTGTCTCCAGAACATTTCCTTTTCCTTGATTATAAATATGCTGACTGTAACCAACAATGGGTTTTTAAAGGTCTTTAGAAACCGCAAGAGCCTCCAACTATTTTTATTCTCTCCTTTGAAGTTTCAATTGCTTGCAGATAGCCTAGAATTTGTTCAAGTTGATGACTAAAATCATTCATTACACAAAGTTACAAAATTTATATATATATACCTCTAAAGTAAAGGTATATTTTCAGAAAACCAATACAATTGTTATTAATTTTTCATGTCTATATCGCATAGTTTATTTCTATGCTTATGTTACCAAAATATCACAAGTAATTTTTGTTTTCATTTATGCAACAGAACTCAGCGGAGTTTCTAAAATAAGGCATGTAATGCTATATGATATAAATATTCACAACTATAACATAATGTGATAAGAGCTATTACAGACATGTGTATTTAGTACTGTGAAAGAGGAACATTAAACTACCAACAAAGAGGCTCACTAAATCTCAGGACTGGTAGGGAACACAAGGGCTGTCTTGTCTAATGCCCCACACTAGCACAAAAGTGAAAATAGAGCCAGGTACATCACCATGAAATTTCAGAACACTTAAGCTCTTATAAGAGAAGATCTTAAAATCTCCTGAAAAGAATCATCAGGAATATACAAAAGAGCAGAACAACCCCAGACATTTTAACAGTAATACTAGAGTAATATCAAAATTATAAGGAAAAATTATTTGCAAATTACAATCCAAAATTTGTCAAACTACGAAGGGCAGACTAAATACATTTTCCTGCCAATAGGCACATTGGCAAGAAGATACTAGGAAAAGTGCTCATTTTAAAAAATAAGGGAATAAGCCAGTACATAGGTAGGGCCCAAGAACCAGGGATTTCAATAGAAGAGACATAAAAAAGGTAAAAGAAATCCCCAGAATGATGGCATAGAGTAACTCCAGGATGGCATCAAGAGTGACTTAGCAACCAGTAATTCCAGATTGAAAAGGTCAGAAGACTCCCTCCATGATGTCTCCAAGAAGATAAAAATACTAATAAAAATTAAATAAAAATACTAATGTATTGAGACATATTGAGAGAATTGGGGGTAGGGGGCTGAATTAATAATACAGTCATAATAAATATAACAAAGTATAATTATTAAATCTACAAAATACAAATACTTGTGTAAGAAAGAAAAAAGTATATAGTACTCTATGTGGCTGAGCTGTGAATGGTGCTTATGTACGCACATAAATTTAAGGACTGATGACAGGTCCAACCAACTATATTATGATATGTTCACACTGGGAGATAGAAATAGGAATACTATCTATTTGCTAGTGGTGAGTGGTGGGAATGAAAATTTACTAAATCCTTATTTTCCATAATTGGAATGTCAATGAAATGTATGAAACTGAAAATTTAAGAAGTAGCACTATGCAGAGAGATAAAAAGCTTCAAAACCAAAAACTTAGCACTGAAAGTAGTTGATTCTAGGAAGCAGGACATCTGTAATAGTAGTGAGGGGGTGGAGCTGCATGTTATATAATAAGTTCTGCTGATGCAGCTGATCCTTTAAACTATGCATATACGTAATATCGATAAAAACAAAGTAACGTGTATTTTTTAAACTAGATTTTCAGCATTTTTTATTGGCAAAATAATTGATGAGTGGATTGCACTAGATGATACTCACAGTACTTAAAAGTCATTAGGATTTTATTGTGTAAAAAGTACTTCCACATGCACAATCTAATAAAATTCTACTAACTTTGCTGTGCAGTAGATGATGAATATCCTCACTTTATAGATGAAGAAATGCAGGTTGATGGGTGTGAACGCCTGGCCAAATTCCACACGGCAAGCCTGTGGCTGAAGTGAGGCTCCAAGCAGGTCTCCTAACTCAAGCACCTTCTGCGCAATGGCTACCTTCCAATGCAGCTCTTTCTCAGTGCCTGGATGCTTTGTAAGCGCAAGGCTGTCTTATTCCTGGGATACTGGTAAAAGTGCAGTTGTTTGTCATTACAATTGGAAAGGACACTAGAGACAATCTGGCCCGGACCTCTCATGCATATATAAGAAATATGAGGCTCGTGAAAGATTTTTCAAGCCACCACGATAGTGCTCAGAGAATTCGATCAATTGGAAAGCATAACTCAAATTTCCTTGAATTACATAGCCCCAGAAGCTAAAATAGGATAAAATAGGATTTATTTTTACATTACATATGAGGAAGAAGAGACACAAAGAGACATAGTATGTAACCTGCTTCTACAAAGAAATGGGATTTTTCCTTAATCACTTCTAGTCCACCTTGAGGTGTGGTCCGCATCGATTATGTAACGTCAAGGAAGGTAAACTTTTATTATCTAAGTCTGATATCTGTGCACAACTCTGTCCCTCTCAAGCATGATAACTAATCCAGTTCACTCCCTGAAATAAGCGTGCCCAGTGAAAGGAAATATTACTACATTTTATCATTTCTTTCATTATCAAAGGGCCTCCTGGACAGTTGTTCCCCAAACATTTATAGTCCGGTGACCTAACAGCTTTCTCCTCAGAAATGATCATTGGAAACAGTCCAGCAAAACCCCATGGTAAGAACTCAGGAAAGTTTATTTTGCTACCAGTGCACACAATTTTCCAAACAAGTAAGTTTCTTTTTTCAGGTCAATTAAACCTGTGTTCAATAAAATCACACGGGAGACAAGAGGGTCAGTTATTGATTACACCTCAGTTACACCTAGAAAGAGGCTCTCCTGGCTGAACTTGATTAAAAACCATTTCCAAATCTAAATTTCTACCCTTCACTCTTCAGAATTTGGGATCCAAGGGTCTCTGCTGAAGATGATCCAGTTGTGTGTGATTCTCAAATGGTACATTATTCACTTGGAAGGTGGCTGGATGCAGGGTGGGGAGAATTGATGAATGCTTTCCTGACCAAGGTAAGTAGAAAATTAGAGCAAAGAACTCTAAATGCTCTAATGCTTCATCTACTGGAATCAGCATAGAACGAACACAATGCAAAGTGCATTTTCCAGGGTTCAAAACCTAGTTATATTTCTTTAAGTTACTAACCTCTCAAAGCTTCTGTGTCTCAAATACAAAGGAGATAATATCTGTCTCACCCATTGTTGTGAGTATTGAATGAGACGGCATTTTATGCCCCTAACTGTAAGTCTCATTTTATGCCCCTAACTGTAAGTCTCTTAACTACATTTTGAATGTTAGTCCCCTTCTCCCTGAAAGTGTCAAAACCCTAAAAGAAAACAAACCAACAACTGTATCTCTTACTACCTGATTTGTCAGTAAATCTGTAGCTTGACACAGCCACTGGCTGGCCTCATTTGCTGGCAAGCTGATATCCAGTGGTAGAACATTCCAGTCACTTCTCTAGAAACATCAATAAAATAGAGTTAGACACCAAAAGTAGATAAAAAGGAAATCACATACATCCAGATATTGATTTTTTCCAGAGAATATATGAAAATTAGATTCAGTTATATTGTAAGTCAAATTATGTACATGTTTGTAACAATGATCTCTGTCACCACAAAAACATTGAACTTGGAAAGGAAGGACCTAGGTTCAAATCCATTATTTGTGTAACCTTGAGAAAAACTTTTCTTGGCTCTGAGCCTTAGTTTTGTTACCTGTGAGACATATAGTACCTGCTTAAGGGGCAAGCACCTGGCTTATAGTAAGTCAACAAATGGTAGCATTTATTTCCATCAACAATAATATAATTAATTATCATAACACAGGTGGGATCCTTATTTGCTCATCAAAATTAAAATCAAGTTGTGCCATGAATTAAAATGATTCAATCGTTTCTGCTCCTCTCAAGAGCAGATGCTTCTTCAAATTGATTTATACTAGTGAAAATTAGATTAATTCCACTGATAACATTCTTCCAACAGGTCCCATTATTTACTTGTATTGATCACCTATGATTATCAAGTTCACACTATGTATAGACCTGCAGGAAAAAGAGAAGGGACACTGACATTTATTACCTATTCTCTATAAAGCACAGTGCTAATTGCTTTAGCAAACATCAATTATGTTATTTGTTCTACTAAAACACTAGGAAGAACAGGGCTACCCATTTTTTAACACCTAAGAAAACTGAGATTTACAAAGGCTAAATGAATTGTCAATGGAAAGTGACTTGAAATAAAATCAGAGCATGTTCCCCTCAGCAGTGTACTTCGGTCCTTCTGCCTGCTCTGCTCCCCGCTCTGGCTCTGGTGAATTCTCTCACCCTCCTGCGCTTCTGACTGTACCCAGTGCATGTATAAATAAATAAATAAACCTTTAAAAAAAATTGGGAAAACTCAAAAAGAAAAGAAAATGCATACATTGTGCAAAAAATGAAAAATGATGTAAAAAATATATAAAATTAAAAAAAAAAAATCAGAGCATGTTAGAATTCAAGCCCCCACTTCCCTCCCTGCTCCCAGAATCCCCCTGTTCCTCAGAGATGGAGGGATTCCTGCAGGATGTTTTCAGGGTGGGAGACAGGCTGCATTTTAAGAGTACTCTCTTTTTTTTTTTTGCAGAGTCCTGTGAGAAGCAAAATTTCTCTTATATTTCAGTGAGAGTAATATTCTTCATAATTTATTGGTTCCCTTTTATTTAACGTTTTCCAAATCCTTGAAAATATGAATAAGGACAAGAATTTTTTTCTTCTAGTTGACTATGAAAAATGAGTTCATCAAAATGCAAAAATGTTTCTTGATGACAGCGGGATATTCTGTAACTCCTTTGTTGTACATGCTATCTGAAAATATCACCTTCAGTAAGTTGTGGTTCTCCTCTTGTGAACTTTCTTTCTTTTTATACAAATGATACCCTGGAGTTAAAGGTATACAACCCTTGTAAAAAGAGAAAATGAAAAGTAATATTTTGATGAAAACATATTTCTGTCGATCAGAAAGAGAAAATGGATGCTGCTTTCCCAAGATATCAAAATAAGTACTCTCTTGAGCTACCATAAAACCTTCAAACTATTGTAATGCCTGCTGGAAATTTCATTCTGTAAAAAACAACACATAGGTAGGTAAAGTTCAGACGTGTCCAGTAGGATTTGTCTTTGTCGAGAAAGTAGAAAAGAAAGAATATTTGCTGAGAGCACGTACAACTGCTGTATATCCTGCCAGATGCTGTAATCTTCATAGGAATCTTATCGGGGGCCTTTTTCCCCACTTTAGGACAATTTTGGAAACTGAGGCTCAAACATTGTGAAACAAATTTCAAATATGTCCTAGAAAGAGGAAGAACTGGAATCATGAATTCTATGTTTGGCTGACTCAAAAGTAATTTTCATTTATCTTATAACTATCATGTGCCAGGTAATTTACATAATGACCTGTAATCCTCACAATATTTTAGATGGGTGATATTCTCTCCATTTTTGAACATCAGTAGACTGAGGCTTAGGTAGCCTAGGGAAATTTCTCAGGCAGCTAGCAAGACGTAGAGCCAAAATATTAACCTTGACCTACCTGGCCCTAAGGTCATCACTTTCCATGACCCTGTGCAGCCGCCTGGCAGAGTTTACATCCCTACTGGCCTTAATTAAGACAAATTGGTAGCAGACGTGGAAGCAGAGAACCTACAGGAGAATGCCACTGTCCCTTAGAATTCATGTCAATTAGGAAGAAAATGGAGGGTGTGGTTAAGCTGTGCCATGAAACTTGAGAAACAGATTTGTGAAAATGAAACCAAAATAAAAGGAGGAAAGGAGTTAAGCTGGGGCAGAGACAAAGAATTACAAGTTCCCAAAGCAAGGTTATGCTAAAACACTTATCCTTAAGTCAAATATGAGGTAAGTGCAGTCATCCACAGAAACCCACGAGCCAACTTCCTCTGATAGGAAAAGAATCAGAACAAATGTGGGAAAAGGCCCTTCTGACAACCGCAGGCAGGCTGTGATTTGTCAAAAAGTACAAAATATCTGTTCAAAATAACAAAACGATCTTTTTAATGGGCAACTTTGGAAAACTGTTTTTTTGGAAAGTCAAGAAAAATATAAATAATAATAACGTACCAGAGTTAGCAAGCTCCCCCAGCACCTGCCGCAGTGGCATCGTACCTGTATGTTGTCATTCTGAAAAGGAAAGAAAAAAAAAAACCTCAGAAAAGATTCTGGTTTAACTTATTCTCACTTTAGTGATTTGTTCCACATAGTTTGTGGAGAAATGTGTAGGATTCCAAAAGTTGTCCGTTTCAAATCCTAAGTTAAAAGTTAAAAAGTTTGTGGAAAGATATTGAGGCATAGAATAAAAAGGCTGCAGGATTGGAGAAGGACAAGAGGACGGTCGAATGATGAGGGGAAAGAAGACAACACCGCATCTGTATATACATATGGTTGAAATTGGAGTTAGATTAGAAATTACTCAGAGGCTAATTAGTGCTAAGAGAAAATGCCTTTGTCACCGGCTGCAGCTAAGTACTTTGTTACATCCGTGAACAATGGGGACGGGCTGTGCTGCCTGAGGGTACTGAGTAACGGCTCCACCATCTGTGGCTGCTCTCAGGCACCCGAACCCAAGGAGGAAGCATCCACTACAGGATCCATCACACCCTGGACTCCGGGTGAGCGCGGCTGTCTCCACTGTCCACCCCCAGGGCCCTTGCGCAGGAGTAAGGACTTTGGAATAAAGAAGATGGGTAGTGGAAGTAATATGAAATCACCGTCTTTAAAAGATTTTCTTCCCTCACGTTTTCTTTCCTTTTTCTTTTTTTTTTCCTAAAGATTTATTTATTTATACAAGCACTGTGATACAGGCCAGAGGTGCGGAAGGGCGAGAGAATTCACCTGAGACAGAGCAGGGAGCAGAAAAGGCAGAAGGACCAAAACACACTGCTGAGGAGAGCAGCGGGTTAGGCAGGAGAGGTCTGCCGCGCCATGTGGGTATCTCCCTGGCAGCCCGGGAATCGAACAGGCGCTGCAGAGGCTGCTGACAGCTCCACAGGGAGGCCCTCCTTTTCTTTTTTCTTCTTTTCTTTCTTCACTTTTTTTTTTAACTGTGAAAGTAACAGATGTTGTACTACTGGTTTTTGAAGAAGGAAAAGAGAGAAATGCAGCGTGGAACTGCCTCTGGTGGGGGGACAAGAAATTGAGAGAGACCACAGATCACAATTATGGAGCAGGCAGGGGGAGGGGAGAAGAAGGAGCAATAGAATTTAGAAAAAAAGGTAAAAAAACAGAACAATGTTTTTAAAAACTTTAAAGGTTAGGTACGGAGACCATGGATTACAGTTGGGTGTTGGTGTCATATGTGAGAATCACCCTTTCTCACTTGTAAAATGGAGATAATTGCATATGCCTTTTAAGATTGTGCCAAGATATCAATTATTTCATAAAGGCTTGACAGAAATAAAGTGATTAAAAGATATTTAGCACATCTTTGTGCTAGAAATGTTCGATATTGTCAGCAACTGTTATCATTGCTATTGGTGTTGGTAGTAAGAATATTGCATCATTGAAAAATATGTAAAGGGTCAAATATTGCCGCATGCAAGATTTTAATAAATGACTATTATGAAATGGAGTTATAATTACTATTAGTATTACTATTTGAATAAAAATGAGACATAGATATAACTAAAATACCCGAAGAATAAAAATAAAGGAAACATACTATAAACCAAAAGACAGGAAACTATGGGGAAACACAAAACAAGATCAAAGTAAAAATCAACTAAGACTACAATTCAACTTCTGTATAACGTAAGTATATTTCACAAAAGGAAAACAAGAAAAGTAATTAATCTCACGTGTTGGAAAATGGAAGAAGATATAACTTATGCTTATTATGATTACATAAGAGAAAGCACAATGGTGAAATTTAAATATTAAAACTGCAAGTCTATGAAGTTGACAGATAAAAAGTAAAATGGCAAAAATCAGATTGTTTCTGTGTACACATAGATATAAAGAAAATGTAAAGCAATGAGATCTCCTACACAGTGGTGCATAAAATAGAATTAGAGCAAGAGCAAGAATAAGAGAGGGAAGAAAGAGAACTGTATATGTATGTAAAGACAGAGTGAGATGATCGATAGATTCATGATGCCTACAAATAAGAACAAGATGTGTGCAAATTTTGTTAGAGCCATAGTTTTGCTCTTAAGTATAAATGACATAAATAAGTTCAGAGAGAACTTGCATTTGAACAAAGAAAAAAGAAAATACAAGAAAGAAACTTGCTTCTGAAGAAAAAAAGGTCAAGGGCAAGCTATAGTAATACATAAAATAAAAATTAAGCACAAGGGACATTTTCATATTTTTATTGCTCTAAACGAGATTAACTATAGCAAAAAATTAACAAGATGTTAGTTTTTAATCCAAACATATAAATAGTTACACTTCATTTGAATGGTCTAAACACATCAAACACAGAAATTGTTAAATTGGATTTAAGAAAAGTAGAGGACCTCCCTGGTGGCAGGGCGGTTGAGTGCAGTGTTGTGAAGATGTCCACAGCCTCTGCAGCGTGGGTTCAATCCCAGCCAGCCAGGGAGATACCCACATGGCGCGGCAGACCTCTCCTGTCTCGCCTGCTGCTTCCCTCAGCAGTGTATTTCAGTCAATCTGCCTGTTCTGCTCCCCTCTCTGTCTTTGGTGAATCCTCTCACCCTCCCGCACATCTGGCCTGTACTCCAGCTCTTGTATGCATGAATAAAAAAGAAAGAAAAGAAAAGTAGCAAGATCTGGTTATAAGCTTTCTACACAATTTTTTTGTCAATTATATCTCAGTAAAACTGGGGAGGAAAGTGACATTTATGAATGACCCCCAAAAAATAACAAAATACTAGAAATGCATTTGTAATAAATAGGGGATTAATGTACTTGATACATAAAATAGTTCTATGAATAAGAAAGAAAAAGATAAGAGTTTAATTTTAAAATAGCCAAATGTCATGAAAGAGTGGTTCACAAATAGAAAATATAAATGATAAATAAAATTATTACAAATATACAAACTTTTATGTAACTAATACATTCTAATTAAAACAAAACATTCTAATTAAAACAAAAGCAAAACTTTTGTGTTTGTCCTTCAAATTGGGTAATTTCTTGTCTGACAATGGTGTAGACAATTGAATTCACATACAAATGTAAATTTGTTTTAACTTTCTATAGGACAATTTAGCAATCTGTATATACATAATAATTTAGCAAGATTGTATATTAAACCTTAAATAGATAATATACCCTATATAACTAGCAATTCAATTTCCAGGAATTTTTTCTGAAGGAAATTGTTCAGACTGTGTGTAAAAGCGTTTTGTTAAAAGAATATTACTCACAATATTGTTTCTAATAATAAAAATGGAAAAGTATAAACAATTGCAAATTGGAAAACAAAATACAGTCTTTAAAAAATAATGTCATGGTTTAACGTCTATTCCACAAAAAAATACTGGTTATGTATCACTAGTGAAACCAATAGAATTACAAAATCTTAGATAAAGCTTAAAAACATTGTGTGGGCATGAAAGTGTATGTGTATGTGCATATGGAGGAAATAGCCTGAAAAGAAACACAGGCAGGAATTCTTAGGGACAATCTCTGAGTACTGAGGGTATGGATTATTTTTGTCTGTTTTACCTCTGGAGATTGTCTATGATGAATATGAATTACTGTTTTAATTAGTAGAAATTGTAAGGAATTTTTTATTTAAAAAAAAAACTTAAGAGTAGTAACAAATATAAAATATTTAGGAATAAATTTAAGCAGAAAGCGTGCACACTTGAAGGACAATTTCACAATACTTAATAAAAACCTTAACCTCTGAATCAATAATTCCTCTACTAAGAATTTACCTTAAGGATATAATTGAAGATATACACAAATACTTAGTTATTAAATCAGTAATTTTATAATAAATGAATGAAATTATCTATGGTGGCTTTATTAAATCCTTTGCTTACACAAATTATGTTCTGTCTAATCAATGTAATATCATCTGAAATTTGAAGAGATTTTATAGAAGCTATGTAAATTGGTTAGGATGCAGTCAGGAAAACAGAAGCCAAGCAAGGTATTTCAAGCAGACATGCTTTATTATAGGAAATTGGTTACTGAGTTATTGGAAAATTGAAACAGTAAAAGGGGAGGCTGAGATTACCCAGACCTCAGTTTTTCCTGACAAGTTTTCCTTTAAACTGACAGGGAGCAGCCAGCATGCCCAAAACTCAGGGAATAAAAGAGAAAATGTGGTATTAGGTTAAAATGGTATTAAATATGGAGGAGATTTAATACAGCCCAGTAATCTCTCCTGGGCAGGAATCCTTGATATAAGGTGTCACAGAGCAAACTTGGAAAATTCAGAATCCAAACTGGAATCATTTGGAACTAGTGGGTCAAAGGGAAGGCAAAGATTCCTTCTAAAGGTTCTGGACCTGATGGTGGGTATGTTCAGCCTGAAATTGGCAGGGGCATGCTATCCTGCTCTGCCAGGAATGGTTATTGTAAATTTACCTGTGTGAATCCACTAGTTTATTGCTGATGTTAGTTGTGTGACTTATTATTTGTTCAGGAGCTTATGCTTTGATTCCTATAGTTATTACATCTGCATATTTCTTAGTTGCCTTATGTATAAATCCCACTCCATCTTCACCCTTACAGAAATGGCTTTGTAACTTGTAGTGAGACAAATATCAAAGGTAAGATCATGGATGGTGTGAAATGACTCTTTGACTGAACTCTGAGCAAACCTGGGCTCACTTAGGAACTGATAAATTGACAAATCTAATTTCACATTCATTTGCTGATGCATCTTTGAACAAAAGCGAATTGTTTTTAGCACATCTTAATACTTCAGATATAAAATGCAATGATTTTAAGGAATAAGTGGAATATTTAGATTTTCCTTGTAAAGAAATACCACCAGAGTTTTGGGGAGATATTCTGACATAGTATAAACACTCACTGCTTTAGAAGATCATGTGTCATTTCAGTTCATGCTGTGCTAAGGGTTTTTCACTGGCAATTCATATTGCCTCATACACCTCACAGTGGAACAATAGGGTGCAGGAGTATCTGTGGATAGTGATAGACATATCTTGCCTGGTCTTGATAAATTACTGAGTTACTTT